GTTAGTTTCCAGTACTGAACACCATTCTTCTCACTCTGCTTTTCTCATGAGAGAGGCGAAGGCGTATCAGCACCGCTGCATGGGCAGAAACCCTGTGGGAGGCAGGGGCACAAGCACGTGGATGCATCAGCATCCTGGTCTCATGCAAATTACTTTTATTTTTTTTTCTGTGAAGGTTGTGTGCCTGAATTCAGAACAATACCTTGAAAACTTCCTGCCACTTAATTTAGCAGAGCCAGTGCTGCCACCTGCTTGGGCTAGGAGAGGGAGAGTCATATTACTAGAACAACAGTATGGAAGTTTGAAATAGCTAACGTGGAGTTTGCTAAAGTTTTTTATGGACATCGGTTTAAATGTTGGTCTCCGAGGGAACACCAGAGCAGTGCTTGTATTTAGTAGCCACACACCAAAACCAAATTGGAGCCCACAGAAATAAAGCAGGTCTTCACCTTCGGTGCTGCCTGGAAAACAAAACTTTCTGTGCCCTCCTGCTATGTCAAGGTAAGTTTGGACCTGAAAATCCCTGGGATCTGCTGTAAAAGCTGCAGTTCCTCCAAGTAAGTTTGTTATGGCAAAGCCATTTTTTGTGCGTGCCGCTACTTGGCTGCTGGAGGGAACGGCAGCAACTGAGAGGAAGAGGGGGGTTACTCACCAAAATCATTGGCGCAGAGGTTTTCCAGGATCTCCCTGGCAGTGCTGGCCTCCTCCAGCTCGCAGTCCTTGCAGCTGGCTCGGGGCACTGCTGCAACAGAGATTTGGTTATAACACCCTTGTCAAGCTTCACTAGAAAAAGCATAATGCAATTTTGAGATCTGCGAGTGGTGGCTTGCTCTTTCTGAGTGATGCTTCCTCCCGAGCTACCCGGTCCCTGGAGAGACAGCTCAGACTGCCAAGCTGGGAAATGTTAAACTCTTCTTTCTGTGGCTGGGGCAGACGCTGCTTGTCATGCTTTGTTTAGGCTTGTGTGTGTTGCTGCGTGTTAAAGCAGCAATGAAAATGCTTAATGAAGATCTCCTAGTTTAAATGAAACAGTAAAGCCGTCGGTATGGCCAGACTCCATCCAGTGATGCTGAAATGAGGCGTCTGTTCTCCCCGTAGCTGCTGTTGAATGTCCCCCAGTGTTCATCAGTATCTGGGTGTTTAATTTAGCCTTTCAGTCTTAGAGAATTTTTTCTTGTGTAACGCATGTCTGCAGAAGCTCATGCCTCTTTGTGGTGTTTCTTAATGTTTAAAGAGAATGCTTGCAAAACATTTCTTTTTGCATGTTTATTTAAACCCTGGACAGAGCTGAAGATCAGGGCTGCAGCTCCTTGGCTCCGCTGGAAGCACATCTCGCCGCTGGAGCCTGCACACCACGAGCTCTCATGCTGTGCCTGAGCGTTTGGCTTTCACAGCAATTTCTTCCCCCTGCCCCAAACCCCGTACGGTCTGATGGCACCCGGGGAGCTAATGAATACACTAGACGAGGGAACAAGCTGCAGTCAACTTCATGCTAATTTTCTAGACATGGTGGAGTTCCCAGAGAGAACAAAACTAGAATTTTTTTTTTTTTTTAAATATAGCTTAAACCCAGAAATATTAGGAATAGAAAGAAGTCATAGGCCCATCCTTTTGAGCTTTCAGTGTTACATATGGGAAAACATACAAAGGAAAAAAAAAAACTTACTTCTCCTGCTTGAGGAATTTTCATCTGTGGAGACTGCCGCGATGCACAGTTCATGATCTGCGGGAAACTTGTTGCAGTTGAGGATTTCGGGCCAGGGGTAGCCGTAACAAGCCATGACGGGTGCGCAGCTTCTCTTGACGGCTTCGCACAGGCTGCGGCAGGGGTAGATGAGCCTGGGGAGGGGATGGGGATTGCGGCATCTCTGGACTCCTGGCAGCAGGCAGAGGGTCAAGCCCTGGCTGCTGCACAGGGCTGTGTTGCACACTACCAGAGCTATTTTGGGGTCTTTGATGTGTTTTGAACATTCATGCCCAGGAAGCAAACAATGAATGAGGACAGGAGGGGCGAGGGATGAGGCTGTTCGATACAGGCTGCTGCCAGAAGCCCTTCCTCCCCCCCCCAGGGATCTTCTCTAGTTGTGCAAAGGCTGCTTACCTTTGCCTAATTAGATACCTGTTTTCCTTAGCAGCTCTGTTCTTTGACGGCTGCGCCTCAAAACTGAGGATTTCTCTCTGGTGCTGGCACTGTCGGGCTGAGGAAGCCCCTGCGTGGTCGGGGCGGGAGCTGGGAAGGGGGCTGCAGGGGAGCCGGTGGGTGGCCAGCGGCTCCTGCGGTGGGTGAGGGGGGTGGCCAGGGGAGACGGCAGCGGTGCCTGGGGTGGGAGAGCAGGAAAATCCGGAGGAGGGAACATAATACTTCGGCGAGATGAAATGCTCGTGTTTCACTTTCAGACGGAAGGTCCCTGCTGGATGATCCTATTGCCCCTCGCCGAGAGGGGCAGCACGGCTTCTTGGGGACCGCACTGGTCACACTGCGTGCGTTTTCTCTCGGGAGGCAAATGCAGTTGTGCTCTTGGGGAATGTTATTTGCTGCAGCTGAAATAACTTGTAAAAACATCTTACCTGTCCAAGCAGATTGGCGCAAAGAGGGAGCACAGGAAAATCCTAGCGTCTGGGTGGCACTCCCTGGCCAGCAAGGGCAGCCAGCTGGAAGACTGCTGGATCACTTCTGGCATGGTCTCGTGCTCCAGCAGGTTGGGAATCCTCATCTGGGAGTAGCCGATATCGTAGCACAAGGCCATGCGGTGTGGAATGGGCGTGCAGCTGGAGGATCTCCTCAGGTAGCTCGCCAAGGCTCCTGGAGAGCCCCAGAACAGCAGGCGCACCAGGAGACCCAGCAGCCATGGGCCACCCCGCCTTGAGGGGTGTCTGCCGTGGGCCGTGACCATGCTCGGAGCAAGCTGGGAGCGGGCGAACGGGCGGCGCACCCTGGACTGAGCTGCTCCCGACTGTGGGACGCCTTTTATAGCCTACGAGCCACCTCTCTGTCAATCCATCCTCATTAAGTGTGGCCCTTTCAGAGCCCTCATGGGGAAGACAATGCTCTAATTTTCGTTTGCCAGCGGCCCCGATTGTTTGGATTTTAGCAGGGGTTTGGCTTAGATCAGCAGGTGTGGAAATGAGGGCAGTTGGGGAGGGATGAATGACTTGGCCCATGTGTCTTGGGGCTCTTTCAGCCAAGATTGAATCTCTGTTTGACACCAGTGCTCCAACCCATCCCCTTTCTCTTGCTCCAGGATTAGTCATTATTTCATAAACCCCAATGTTTTCCTCTCTTTTGTTTTTTCTAAAAGCCATCAAGTGTTGCTCAAAGTCAATTAGGAGGCATTTGTTTAGCTGGATCTATTGTTGAGCGGGCAGAGAGATAGGATGGTCTCACAGCCAGAAGTTAACCGTTTCGGAGAGCTGAGGGTAGAGAGGAACTAATTTGCAGCTGTGGAGCCAGGTTGTTTGCAGATGGGATTGGCAGCGCTTAGCTGGAAACCCCCTCACCTTGCAGCCTGCGTGACAGAGCGCGTTTTCCAGTTAACAGAATCTTTCCTTCATTACGAAATCCCATCACTGCCACTGAAGAGCGGGATTGTCCTTCCTCCGACACGTAATTAAGATTCCAGAAGCTGTCATTATTGTAGCCCAGTTTGGGGAACTGGAAATACTGGGGGCGTTGCTTGCCAGCGTGCACGGTTCATTCGGACCTGGTGCCGTGCCATGAGGTTCAGACCGGCCAGCGGAAGCTCCAGCTCTGAAGCATCCTCTGGCACAAGGACCCTGCGCTGCCTGCGGCGGAAATTGTTTCCTTGGAGGGTGTTACGGATACAGCCGGCTGCATTGTGTTTCTGGGGCTTCCCAGGAACATCTCATTTTCTCCAGGGCTAGTTCTGGTCTGTACTTAGCAAGAAGCCAGCTGCTTATTGACAGTTTGAGTTGATAGGGTGGATTTAAGGTCATGGAAGTAATTAACTTTTTTTTTTTCACCCCTTTGAGGATTGCTGCTATAGTGGAGATATAACGTGTCCTTGGCACATACCTGCAGGAGCTCTAAGGGGGCTGCGATTTGGAGAGCTGGACCTTGGGGCTAGGAGCGCTTAAACCTGTCCTGCTTTGGTGGTTTTTCTTTCCCCCTTCAAAAGTCTCAGCAGGTGGTAACCAGATCCCTGTAGCAGTGACAGACATCAGCCAGAAGGATCTTCTCAACCTGCTGGGCCACAGCGTAACTGTGCTGTGCAACGGGACCTTGCCAGCGCTTTGCAAGTGCGTGCCCGGTGCACCGTGCAGCCAGATATCTCTTAGCCTTGTAGCTAAGGTGGATTTCTCTGCATTTAATTTTGCTTGGGTTCCTGGTACTGCCTGATTGCTGCTGGTGTCATGCTGCAAAGAAAACCTGGTGATGCCAGGATGCTCCCTGAGTATGGAGTGTGGCATCCACCATGTGCAGTGTCTTCCCCTTTAATATTGCATTTGAAGACCATTTTTAGTGGGGGATCAAGGGAATGAGTGTGAATAAGTTTGGAAGTTGTCTCCCTGCTGTTTGCATTTCATCGCAGAGCTCTGTGCCAGGTTCCCCCGAACGCATTTGGTTTTGTGCAAAGTGCCGCCCTCTCCATGTAAGAGCAAGGAAGCCCGAAACCCTGGCCGTCACCACTGCCCATCGTAAAGGTTTTTGGCCTCCCTTCCTGTAGAGCAGCAGTTCCCAGACTGTGAGCCACATGTCACCTTTGAAGTGATAATACGCAGTGATACGCAGGTGTTTGTTCACTCCTTTGTCCATTGTGGTATCTGCGAGAGAGTTTAAGGGCTTGACCCCTGGGTCCAAACATTTAGGAACTGCTGCTGTAAAAATACCCGCCTCCAGCTGCTCAGGTGTGTGGTGTACGCTCTTTGAGAGCAATTCTGGTAGAAGGGTGGATGTGTTTGAATGTCCCAAACTTAGGCAGTTTCTGAATTTCCCCCCCCCCCCTTTTTTTTTTTAATCTTCCAAGTGGCCTGCCATCAGTATGGGGTCTCATTGTAACAGTTCCTCAGTCTCTGTTGCTGCTCACACTTTTGCTGCAGAAATTCCTGACTTCCTGACAGAGGAGGAGTGCAAGGTCATCGTCCATCTGGCACAGCTGAAGGGGCTGCAGAAGAGCCAGATCCTACCAACAGATGACTATGAGGAAGCCATGGAAATGATAGAAATCAGCCAGATGGACATTTTCAATCTCCTGGACCACAATCAGGATGGGCAGCTGCAGCTCAAAGAGGTAGAGTGCGGGACAGACTGAGGGGGGTTTGCTGTGGGACCCTCTGGCAGGTCTCCTCCTCAGATGGTCTCTTCATTACTCACGTGCTTGGGTAGGGCCAAGCCCCAGTATATACCGATCAGTATTTGCTTAATTTTATATCTCAAGGCTTGTGCTGGCCCTCAGCGTGGAAGTTTCTGGAGACATGTGCAGCAGTTGTCATGCTGTTGGGAGGTAGCAGTGGTCCTTGGCAGGAGATGTGTGTTTTGAATGTGCTGGGTAAAATGTTCCTTGTGCCCTGGGACTCCTCTCGCTGGGTGTCCCAGGGAGGTGAGTTTGTGGTGCAGGCATCGCTTTGTGCAGCCCGTGGGGACTGGCTGTGCTCAGTTGACCAGACATCAGCAAAGCCACCCCTACTAACGACCCTAGAGGGGGACAATGAGGACCTTGTCCACAGCTTTTCAGCAACCTTGCCCTGTGTGGCAGGGTGCATCAGGGCAGTTGCTGGATGTTCAAGGATGTCCCTCCCCAGGCTCCTGTTTCAGGTGGGGCTGGAGGTGTGCACTGTCCTGTGGGCAGCGAGCATGGGGACCTGTGCTGGTGACAACCCAGGGCAAGGCTCCTTTCTCTGGAGGTCAGAGCCTGCTGAGAGCTCTCTGGGATACTGCATCTCTCTGTCCATGTGGAAAGGAAGCATTTTGTTCCAAGCCCTTATCTTGGACAAGTAAAAGCATTCATCAGTATACTTTTATCATCAGTAGCTTTAC